GAATTTTTAGACTGAAACCGAAATAAAAAAAATTGTCAGGCGAAAACTGAAAGTTACTTTTTTTTTTCAAGCTTTTTTTGGTCCCAAATCTCTTTTTTTGCTGGCCCTTTTATGAATGAACAGGAAGCCTCTATACTGAATGTTCCTGTTCTTTCATAAATTGAAGAGATAGTATCAGTTACTATGTACACAATCATGAATGAACAGGAGGTGATGTAGAGCACTTCCTGTTTATTCATAACTGCTGACACAGTAAGCATACTATGTCCTCATTTAAAAACACTCAGTGATCAGTCCTTACAGCTCTGCCTGTTACAGATGGCCGAGCTCTCCTCTAGCACTGCACTGCACGGCCTACTGACAGCTTTGCTCCCAGCACCGCCCCCGCTCGTCACTGGCAGCTGGCCTCCTGACAGCTTGTCTCCTCCCTGCTGGATCGGCTGTGTCCCTACTGCCTCTGCCGACACAGGTGGGGAAGAACAGTGGGGATCGGAGGAGACACGGACCAGCGCCCAGAGGGGAGGAGAGAAGCTAGGGATGCACCGCATTTTGCCCATAGTACCATTTTTGGCCAAACTTTTGGTGCATCCCTAGTGCATTGTACTTTGCTGCAGGCATCTTGGAAATCTACAAACTTGCAGCACTACGGACACAGAAGAAAGGCCACTGGTTCTACACATAGGAGTCTATTTATAAACAATTCATAGAATCGTTCACCCTGCAAATCTTTTTGAACTTTCATTGTGCGAATAGACATAAATATATATATAATTCTCTTAAGTTCACATGTGTGGAATGTAATACTGCATTTTGGCCACTAACTGGAGCTAAGGAGCATGGGAAATAAGTATTTATATCCCATGTTCCTCAGCTCTCTCTAGTGGCGAATTTGCAGTATTACATTCCACACATTCAACCTGAAAAGAAAACATATTGAAGAATGTTGATTTTTGTGTCTATTCACACTGAACAAATGTTCAGAAAGATTCAATGGGTGAATGTATCTACCCCACAGGATTTAGAAGACCTATTATTACATAATTTAAAGCAGGGCTTGACAAATTTGCTTTCAATCTAGAAACCAGCTAACAAAGTTAGAAGCCAGGTTTTTTTTTAACTAACAAAGCTTTATTTTCAATGAGTTGTAATTTTTAATTACAGTTTTAATTGGCGCATGCGGCCATAACTGACGTGTTGCGCAATCGTCATTTCTTTACATAGGTGCACATGATTTGTGATTCCATTAGTATGTGCGCGTTCTCGGGGGTATTTTTAATTTTATTATATTTAACTTTATTTAAACTTTTTTTTGTGTGCTTCACTGCCATCACATGGGGGGCTCACAAGCCCCCTATGTGATAGCACATTGGAGATGACAGGTTATTTTTAAGGTGACATTAGGGGTCTTTTAGATCCCTAGTGTCACCTTTCCACTTCAATAGCTTTAGCTGGGGAATGACAGATGTCTGCTGATCCAGCTGAATGTAAACACAGCAGGCAGTGGCTGGGATCAATAGCCAGCCTGCTATTGGCTATTTCAAATTGCAATATCAGACTGGCTGAAGGTTCTTCTTTAGGTCCTCCTCTGCTGATTGACAAAGGCAGTGGGCGGGTACAATACCCATCCTGCTATTGGTTGCTGCAGTTTAAAATAGCCAATAGCAGGCTGGCTATTGCTTCCTTCCGCTGGATGGCAGACTTGTCGATGGCTGTCTACCGCCGGCAGTTAATCTGAAGAGGGGGTGCAGCGGGGACATGGGGGGATGCAGTCAAAGTGGCTGACAGCGCTCTTTCCTCCCCGCTGGGAGCTGGCTGCAGCGGTCTGTGTCCCCTCTGATCCCCACTGCCTCTGCTGATACAGGCGGTGATCAAAGGCGAAACAGACAGCAGCATGCGTCGGGCTCCTAGCAGGGAGGAGAATGGGGGGAGCAGAGCTGATAAGCCGGTGGCGGGGGTGACAATTGTTATTTAGGATTGAGGTTTGGAACTCTCCTCACCGCTGGGCACCGGCTGCAGGGGTCTGTGTCCCGTCCGATCCCCGTTGGGAGTACATTGTTCAGTTATGGTGGTTAATATTTTTCATTGTTCTTAAATGTGCAGTACAAATTACTGATGATCTATTTGCAGATTTGGGCAAGAGATAATGTCATTTGGAAAAGGGGGAATTATTGTTGGTTCTGAGAAATGGACTTAAAAAATAAGTGCGAGTAATTATTTATAACGGTTCCACGAACATTGCTTCGTCCCCTGCACACCGCCTGACTCTTCCCCCCCTTTTCTTCCTCTATTTCCTTTTTCTATCTTCTCCTCTTGACCTTTCCATCTCACTTTTCTTCTTCCCTTCCTCCCCCTGCGATGTACCTCATCATAGCAAATCTCAGGACACAAGGCTGCTTACACTGAATGTAAGGTTTCATTTGGTCTCCCAAATGTGATGTCCCCATCACCAGCCTTGCGCTGGGAATTACTTCCTCTTCATCTGTCCGATCTACCTGAAACCTCACCAGCCCATCTCCCAGATGTACCCAAATGAATCCGAAATAAGCTAACCTACTGTGTCATGTTTAGAGCTTATTTTTATGCAGTTATCGTCCTGTCAGATTGTCATGAATGACACTGTGCTACTTCTTTACACGCTGATTTTATACGAGATTGTAGTGTACAGTTTTGTACTGTTGTCACTCTTATTATTCTCAATAAAAATACAGATGAGAGAAAAAAAAAGATAAGTGCAAGTATCTTTGAGGGCTCTCAGTAATCCTAAGCAACTTTGCCAACTCTAAAACTTTACCTAAACCTGTGATGTGAGGCTCATATGATGTTCTCCTGCAAACCAGTGTGCCTTCTGTACATGCCTATTGCATGCACCTTTCATTTCAATAGAAGGCCCTTCACCAAATTTTCAGTCTGCAGATGGGCATCCCTGGAACCACTGTAGCAATCCTTACCCTAATCAGAGTGAGTCTTACCTTTTACTTTATTGCTCTTTACACAGAGTTCTTGATAGACTGCCTGTCCAAAAAAAAAAGAAACACTATACATTTTATTGGACCGCCTTTAGCTTTGAGTGCAGCACACATTCGCTGTGGCACCCTTTCGATAAGCTTATGCAATGTGACAACATTTATTTCTGTCCAGAGTTGCATTTATTTTTTCACCAACATCTTGTAGTGATGATGGAAGAGTCGTACCACTATGTAAAGTCTTCTCCAGCACATCCCAAAGATTCTAAATGGGGTTAAGGTCTTGACTCTGGTGGTGGCCAATCCATGTGTGAAAATGATTGCTCATGCTCCCCATAAACCACTCTTTCACAATCTGAGCCCAATGAATCCTGGCATTGTCATCTTGGAATTATACCCAATGTGCCATCAGGAAAGAAAAAATCCATTGATGGAAAAACCTGGTCATTCAGTATATTCATATAGGCAGCCGACCTAATTGTTTGGGGACATAACATTGCTAAACATAGATCTATTATCCAGCGAAAGGCTCTGACCTATTTGCTTGATGAAATCCAGGTGGTGACTTTTTTTTTTTTGAACAGGCAGTGTATATCAAGCCCCAAAATCTCTAACTGAACTAAGTGGCAGTTTCTACTGGGTGTTTTGATGACATTAGTATAAAATAGCAGCTAATCTGCCTCACTTTTAAAGTGAACCTTTTCTGTGTCCATTCAGAGCAAGTAACAGGTTTACTGGTATCCTTTGATGTTTGTATTTAAAAAGCACCCCTCTCACATGGACACATTTACTTGGCACATCCCTGAAATAATGGTGTGTAAGTTCCAGGTCTGTTTAACGTCAGAGCTTAAGCAGCAGTAAAGATCCCTTTTCCATCCCCTCTCCCAGTCTCTATATGACTCAGGCCTGTCAACTAACACTCAGTTCTGCATTGTATGTGGCAGAAGAGAGTTACAAGCTCCATCATACGTGAAAGTATGAGATTGTGCGTGGAGCTTTGGCCAAACACCAGCGGGTGCTTCTTATCCCGCCATCCTGAATGGGAAAAGTACAGGTTTTCTTTGAGCTGTCAATGGCAAGCTAACATTAAACCAGGTATCAGGTTATTAAATGATTTGCATTAAAACAGTTCATGACAAGGATAAGCTACAAAGACATACTATAGTATATTATTATACATTGTCCAACAATAAGCCACATAATAAGAAAACATACACAGCAAGGTTTTATTTACACTCTTACATTTACTAGGCAGAATTTCAAATGACTAAGACCAAAAAGAAAAGACAGGAGCAGAAGTTTACAGGACAAAATTGTGTGGATCTCATTGCTTAAAAAGGAGAACTATGGGGGTCAGGGCTTTTCCCCATAGTTCTCCTAAGGGTAACGGGAGGATACAAACTAGCGTCCTCCCATCACCCTAAGCTCAGTATACTGCGAGCTACAGCTCGCAGTGTACGGAGATTCCCGCAGCCGGGTTGGTCCCGACATTACTCTCGAGATCCACCCAGCTGCGGGATTGACAGCTGGCTCTGCCTATCTAGAGGTAGAGCCAGCTGCGCCCGCCCCCTCCCGTTCCGCCAGTCAGCGATGGAGGATCGGACAGGGGTGGGGGGAATCCCTGCAGGGAGCAGTGAGTGAACAGTCACGGCTCTCTGCAGGGATAGATCGTGAAGTGAGAGAGCGACGGTATGTGTTCGCTCACTTCCGAATCTACTGAGCCCACCTGTGACAGTTTCATTGCCACACGTCGGCTAGAACTATGAGGCTGAGTGATTTTCACTCGCCTCATAGTTCTCCTTTAATGCTCAATATATTATTTTCTTCAGCAGCACCTGATAAAAGGATTCCCCGAGTACAATCTAATATATCAAGCAAATAATGAATACAGCAAGATACCCCCAAATTCTAGCATTGATGCTGGAAATCAATGTGTAAAACCATATCACTGTCCCAAAATACTAGCTCTTCAGGTATTTTTGTCAGGTTAAGTTCCATTACAATTGCTGGAGATCAGCCATTTTGTTGCAGTCAGTATGGAAATGAGGTGCACTGCCCTTTACAATTCAAAGTACAGGAATCGCTATGAAGTTTTTTTGGTCAGGGTGGAGGAAGAGACATCACTGGAGGGGAGAGATCTTGAGAGGAATCATAATACGGGACTCCATGTTCCGGACAAGGGGAACTGCAACAAAAAAAGAAAAAAAAAAAGTGCATAAATCTACTACTACCTGAACAGTGGTATAAAAATCACCAACCTCCATTGCTTTACATACTTTTAATTAAATGGGATTCAGAAAATGCTTTTTACCTGTGTAATACACATTTTCATCCCATCCTCGTTTGGTCCATGCGGATTTCCTAGTTTCTTCTCTAGACTGTAGATCTTTGTAAGCTGACAAACAATAAATGTAAGGTGCTCTTATTAGTATGAGATGCTTTATATTACTTATGAAGGCTTAGTCTACATAAATCCAACTTTTTTAGTTGTGTGACCACAGGCAATTATAGTTACACTGACCAATGAGTGCTCGCCATTTGCAAGCAAAAATCAAAATACAGAGTGCAGGGCTGTACTGCTATAGGGAAGGAGCGTTCAGCCGTAAGGTAAGGTAACCCTTTTAAAGATTATGGACTATAAAAATCAACATTTTTTTTAGTGTCCAACCTCCTATAGGTAGTGTCATGGTTTATTCCCCAATAAACTCAAAAAAAAAAAAAAAAAAAGGAAAAAAGGAAAAAAAAAAAAAAAAGGTATTTTATGGCAACCAGTAATCCCCCAACACAAACAATTTTATTTGCCCATAGTGTTTTACTAGATTTACCCCAGAGGTGATGCACCACATATAACTCTCCAATCTGAGAAAAAAATCCTCCAACAGCCTCCTGATTCTCCTGACGATACTTTATAGCACGAGCCCTAAAGTTAGTAAAGAGAAAACAATTAGCTGGAATAGTAACGCAAGTATGGCTAATAAATGATACACTAACAAAAGTGCAAACTTTATTATACAGTGTATGTACAATAATTTGGTTTACCGACATGAAGTATTTTTTTCACCTACATAAGTAATAGGTAGTCAATTTCTAAGAATACCATAATCCAAACTAATAATTACATTTTAAAAACAAATACTTTATATTTACATCATAATAAAAAAGGCTCAAACACAAAAGTGCTGTGTCAGAGTACCTGATTAACATGCATGTTTTCCAAGAGAAATTTGCTAACCAATCGCTGGCCAGAATGAGCGAAGCGCGCTTTCACTATCGATTCCTCATAGGCGGAGTGCATTTGGTATCACTCCGCCTGTGACAGGAGCCGGCGCTATAGAGGAGGCATCGGCTTATGCGGCTCTGCTCCCTCCCGTGCGCCCCGATTCCTCTGGCGCTGGCTTTGTTGGCACCACTGATTCTCTCCCGCAGCTCTTCAAGTTCCCCCTTATGACACCACCGGCCCTGGGAATGGTCACAACTAGGTCTTATTTTCGGGGTAGGTCTTCTAGTACTATTTCTGGGAATTGCTAAAATATGTCTTCTTTTCGGGGTAGGTCTTATTTTCGGGGAAACAGGGTATTATACTGTGTTTCCCCGAAAGTAAGACCTACCCCGAAAATAAGACCTAGCGCTATCTTCAGGGATTTCTGTAATATAAGACCTACCCCGAAAATAAGACCC